GTCAGAGTTGGCTTCCGTTTTTCGGATTTGACCTTCATCGAACGCTCTTTCTCAGTTGGAAATTTGGATGTGCGCAGCGGGGCCGGTCGCAACGCAGTGTCGCGGGAGCGGTCGCGGCCGGCGTGTCGTTCATTGACCAGTAGGGAAAACGGCTGGTGGGTGGTCGATGTCAGGGAAGCGTCGGCGGCGGCCGCAAGGTGACGCCGTCAACGTCCGCCTCTGTTTCCAGGCCACTTTTCCAAGTTGGGAAAGACGACTGGCTTCCTTCAGGCCTCTTTCATAGAAGACCGGCTTCTCTTTTTTGTCTTCTTTCGGGATGCAAACCGACCGCCGACTCCGAACCGGAAGAAAGCGCCGCAGTCTTGCGCGATGGCGGCGCGGCGTTTCGGCCAATGCGGAAACGGTCGCCCTCCCGCCGCCGCCACACGCCGTATGGCTTTTGAGACGCCCACCATCTCGCGGTTGTCTTTCAGGCTACCGCCTCCGTCTCGGCTCCGGCGCGGACAAGAAAGACTCGGGCAAGATCCACGTGGACTTTGCGCAGGCTCGAGACGACTTGTACGAGTGGGAGTGCAAGCAGAGGCTACTCCAGCGAGAAAAACGCCTCCCCCCCCGCTGACCGTTTTTCGCCACCTATCAAGCGTTTGCCTCGTGCGTGCATGGGGAGTGCAGAGAGTGAGCAAATCCTCATCGCTCGCGGACAATGTGGAGAGCGCGGCGTGTCTGCCATCCGGCGTGCGGGCCGCTCAAAGGCCGTCGAAAGGAAGTCACGCGATGCTCCGGAGACGCCGCATGACCTGGCAAATGCCAAAGAAAAAGCAGTGAGGCGCTTTCGTTGGTTTCACTCGTGGGCTGGCGCGCGCCGTCCGTAAACGTCTTTGTGGCCGTGCGACCCGAGGAGGGTGCGTGAGAATCTCTATCAAGCGGAGAGGCGGGGAGACGGTTTCCCTCCCAAACTCGGGCTGGCGTCGCCCGCGCTAGCTCCCGCGGCCAACAAAAACACGGCCGGCCTTATGAGATTCCTGCCGGTTGGGGAAGGAAGGAAGTGCTTGACCCGTTTTGACAAAGGTGACCCATTGTCGAAGTCGAAAGTCCGCCGCTCGAGAGCCCCCCCCTCGGGCCTGCTTTGGATGCGGGCTTGGCGCCGTCACGCTCGATTCAAATGAGGGATCGCTCGGGGGGCTGGCGCAAAGCCGGCGCCGGTGTCAATGCCCGGAGACGCTCGCTTGCCTACAAGTTGTCGCGGCGCCGCCACAATGCGGCTCGTTAGCAGCGGGTGACGGGAAAGGCGGCGCGCCGACCTTTTGGTTTGAAAAATCACAGCCGGCATTTCGCTGCCTCATTTGCATCACGGGCACGCAAACAAACGAGCCGTACTCACACGGCGGCGGCACCCGAGCTGTGAGCAAACAGGAGCAAGTTAGCTTAGCATTAGCATCACTAGCTTGACATTTTAAGACAGATTGGATGGAAATGAAGGAGAGGCAGGGCTTCACATTCAGGTTTCTGTATTTTTTGTTGTTTTTTATTTTTTGTGTGAGCGCAACTCAGCCATGTCTGCCATCTAGCGGCGAATGGTGATACTACAATTTTCAGACTTGGGCGATATTGACTTTTTGTGTTCAGGGCAATACCGTCGCTCATCTTGGACGTCTTTTGAAGCTTGCCAATCTGTCCGGACCCGTAGCCCGATTCCGCACGCGATGTTTGTTTCCCTTTTTGCCGAGTTGGAATGGTTTCCGAAATGCACTTTTGCTGACAAACAAGACCCGGTCAAAAACGACAAAACCCCGCCAAATCCACACCTTCAATTTTGTCTTCAGGTTAAATGGTGAACAAAGTGCACTTTTTTGCCAAGATAGCAACGCGCTAACGACAACCCGGGTCGGCGGAAGGCTCTCCTCGGCCCCTCCCTTCCGAGGGCATCCGTCCAGTTTTTTTTGCGGATGCGTTTGCTCTTTTGGAGTCCTTGCGAATCCGTTTGCTTGTCGTCAAGTGAAAGCGAGTCTTTTCCTGTCCTCTCCGGCATCGAAATGGCCAACGTGCCTTCGTATGCCGCCGCGAGAGGCCAAACGTGATCGGCAGGGCTTCAAGGCAAACGTTTCTTGTTTGAGGGGAAGCGAATGATTTCTATTTGCTCATTTGGGGCTCCTCACACACGCCAAAAAGGTTTGGGCCGTGCGCCGCGGGTGAGCCACAGAACACGGCCGTATATGGCGCAGCTCCAAGTGGATGCGCTAGCTTTCGCGCGTGGGTGTGCGCGCG